AAAAGGCTTTGTTCGGTATGGTGCGCTGGAATCGAGGGAGGGCGCAGTCGTGAGAGACGTTGGAACGGGTCGCCGGCCTCGATTGAGCAGAGGTTGAGGTTTCGTAGAGTCGAAAAGACGAGATCTAGGAAACTGGGAACTGGCGCAGGGCACCAGATGGATGGATGGATGGATGGATGGATGGCAGGCCCCGACGTGGAGCAGGACCTGGCTGGTGCGTCTTTGGTGCTCGTTCTGGTTTTTTGGCGCTGCTGGTACTTCGTACTGCTGGTTCGTACTCGACTGGGACCCGGCCGACGAGGGAGAGGGAGGTACGGGGACGGACGGGGGTGTGGGAAGGGGGCAAGGATGAGGGGGTGTGGACGTGTGGTGGACTTGGGTGCGGCGACAGGGAATGGGGGTGAGCTGGATATGCTTGGTTTTTGACTGCTCTGCTTGCCCTGCTTCTGCGTCTGTCGCCTGCGGCCTGCGTGTGTGTGCGTCTGGGGGTCCGAAAGTGGGAGAGATTCAGATGGGAAGAGTCGACTCAGTCGAGAGGTGCAGCGCCGCGGCCACGGTGGGATGGTATTGGGATGCGCGGTGCAGCACCGCACTGGTGCTGGCCTGACGTGCGAGCGAGATTGCGGTGGTGGTGTTGGGTGTCCACGAGTGATTAGCGCGCTGCCTCATATGCAAGTCGCTGTTCAAAGGGACGAATAGGTTATCCGGTATGGATTGCTATGTGGTGCTGGCGTTCGCGCTCGTGCTGCCGCTGCCACTGCCGCCGCCGTCTTCGATGGCTTGTACCCTTCTTTTCCTATTTCAACCAGCTACCTTATCGCAAGTCAGAAACCCAGAGCGCCATGGGAAAGAGGAAAGACTCGGCTTGAACTGTACAAAGAAGCACTCACTCACTGGGAGGGCGGCTCGATAAGATCACGGCGATGAGAGATGCGAGTGAGGTGATTCCTTAAACAAGAGAAAGCCGCGGGAGCAGACTGACAGGGGTAGCCTGAGGTACTAAGGTAGTGTTGAGATTGAGCCTGGCAGGATCCGATATTGAGGTTGATGAAAAAGGGAAACTTTGGCCTGTGCTAATCCTTCCAACGTCCGCGCACGATGTATCAGAGAGAGAAGGCGCCGACTCCTCAGTGCCAAAGAGAGTGTTCTTTTCCTGATCTATCTGTTGATTCTTCTCGAGTCTGAGTTTCTGAGTCCTGGGAATGGTGGATGATACCGTCGAGCCAAATGGGTCGAACTGGAGATGTTGGGTGGAGAGAAGAGGCGAGCATGAGGACGGTGACCCTGTGCCTGTGTCCACTGCCCGTACCTTACGGATACCTCGTTCGAGTCGTTCCAGTGGGTATGGGTACCGTAAAAAGAACGGGAACAAGCGGACGAGTTGTCTCAATCTCAATCGGCTGGTCCTGCTGCATTTCCTGCGCGGCGCGGAAGGGAAGGAAACGCGGGTGCGGTGCGGGCGGCAGGTTCCAGGAGCAGAAAAGCGACCTGGGCCGTGGGGCGGCGGGCAACGGACGGGGGAGAAGCCTGACGCCTGAAGCCCCCGAATCTCGAATCTCAAAGGCTGAAGCAGCGCGTGGGAAGCGGGAAATGTGAATGTGATTTTAGTGCCGTATTGCTGTGTATGCGAATTTGCGACCCAGGAAACCTCATTAAACACGGTAAAAGGACCTTTCGGAGGGGAGAGGGGGGCGGGGGGGCAACTGGCAATCTGGCAGCCCTGGACTGTCAATGGACCCCGGCCCTGGTCGACGAGTCGCGAATTGTCGAATTCGAGGTCCCAGTTCGCGCAGCTCGTGGCCCTTGTGCCAACTGCGGTTGCATTGGAAGTGGTTAAGCTGCGATGGGGACAAGAGACATGCGAATCGTGGATCAGCCCTTGTCCACAGTGTGACAGTGTGTCCTTTTTCTCCTCTCGTGGGATTCGTCCATTTCGGGTCCGCAGCCGACCCCACACCTGGGACGTCTCCAGTTGCTGCCGGCTGCGCGGGCCCACTGATGATCCGTGTCGGAAACAATGACCTCATACTGTCCTCAGAACATGGCAAGACGTCTGACGGTGTGACCAGTACGTAGCTACGTACCTTGACAAGCCCTGCATGCACGCTTTTTTCCCAACCCGGGAGTACCTCGGTACACTAACAGAACAGGCACCACCACCACCACCACCACCACCACCACCTCAACTTGCCCTCCTCGTCGCCCGATGGTTCATCAAGCCAATTTCAACATGCAGACGACCTCAGTGCTCACAAACAGGTGGTCCAAAGATAGCTACGGCTCGCCACCGACCAGACCGAACATTTCGACAGCATCCCTAAAGGCTCCAATAAGTATACCGTCCTTGCCACCTGATGTGCCTCAGGTTGGCATAGGGTACTACCAACTTCAACCTCATCTACCGTCTCCACCACACTCTCACCATCCGCGTCTCTCTGACCGTGTCGTGTGTTGCACCTGTCAGGACTTCCCCGGTTCGACTAGCCGACAAAATTCGGGCTAATAGGCGACATGCAACCCAGACAAGCCAGATTCCGACACTCAATCTTCTCGATAGATCAAAATCATCGGAGCTAAGAGCAAGTCTACCACAGCAGAGTCACTCGTCCCAACTTGCAAGCCTTACGTAGACGACATGCACTCACAGAGCTTGTCAGTGCACTTTGCAAAGTCATCTGGCCAAGGTTTGGCCTTACCTGCTGGTCTAAGAAAGCACTGGCAAGCTGCCTACGCGGGGAACTAACTTTTACCACGGGCTGATAATTCGTTAGTAGGGGAATGGCATCCTAGCTCTGAACTGCTGCTCTGGACCCTTGCTCTTTGTGTCGTGTTGACCTGAAAACACCTCGCACCCTGACTCTCCAACTCCTGGTCTGAATCCACAAGGCGATCCAGATGAATACCTACGTAGCGTGTGAAGACATAGATGCTCGCACGCACACAGTGGTCATCCTTCACACCACGAATAGGGAGTCCGAGACAATAAGGAACTCGGGTTATCCGACGCTGGGGGCCAACTGGCGCCCCAAAAGCAATTCCGGCGGGCAAGCAACCACCAAGTTGCGTGCCGCACGGCGCGATGGCTTCTTCTCAAAGACCCTGTCGTCCTGAAAATATCGTGCTCGAGTAAGCCATCTTCTCGGCGACCTCGAAAGACGGAGTGGCAGCCGAAATATGGAGTAACCAATAGGACACGGCCGGCTGTTTCCGCGACACACGATTCCTGCTGCGCTATGCGTAGTATCCTGTATAGGAGCAACGAGCGCAGAGACAGCTGCAGAAATTATCTTGTCTTGCTTGTCTCGCCGACTCCTAGGATGCATGCCATCTCAACTCTGGGCGGTAAAGGGTCCTTCCTGTAGTGCGGGGAGAGACGGAGAAACGGTTTGGGAGAACCTCTCGGACAAAGACAAAACTGGAATGAAGACCCTTCATACTGTGCTCCAAGTCAACAGTAGTTGTTCGCCAATCGAGTGGATGCCCGTGTGATGGGCGGTGGATTTGGCAACTTGACCGGCCGACTGCACCACCCGCCCAGCCATCATCCTGAGGACCCAAGACAGCAACGATCCGCGATGGCTGCCTCTAGATTGGCCAGCCTTGATTAACTGGATCAGCTCAAGACGTCCTAAACGGGCGTCTGAGTCTTGCCGCGCTGTCACCATCTGACGAGCAGTCCGGGCTGCTTTGACAATAGGTCCTACAATCCGCTGTCCCTTTTCCGCCAATCCTCTCACCTGAAGACGGTTCGTTCTCGCCAGTGTATTTCGAACGTTAATGACCATGGCGGTCTAGAGATCACAGCATCTTTCAGACACACAACAACGAGATATCAAGTTGACCTCGCCAACTACAAACCAATGACGCCGGTAACTAATACGCAAAGCTATGTTTTACACTTTCGGTCCTGTCCCCTTCAATTTCTCAACAGTGTAATGCAGTCTGCTCATCTTGAAGCAGCGTCTCGCTGATCCTAATCTGTCGTCCGGGGTGACCTTTCTCTGCTTTCTAGAAGGCATTGCGTAAAGGGCGTCGCAGCGCAAGCCTGCCTCGTCAGCGCGTGCAACATAGGGCAGACCAGACTCGAGCACTGACAGCAGCCGAAACCCGGCCTTCTGGGACCGCGCTTCGGTTTGAACCGACTACCTAAAAACCTCCCTCGCCAAAGGAAGCTTAGATACTGCTTGTACGAATAGTTCAGATGGGCACACGGCATTGTGCTTTCCAACCGTACCTTGCGGTGCATTCCCCTCCATCTGGCCCATGCAAGGGGTCCCAGCGAAGGACGTGTCGGCCGATTGGACTGCTCAGTCCCCGGAATACTTCAGCGTGCGGACACAAATAATTGAATTAGCTCAGCGGTCCCAGGCCGATTCCGAAACGGACAGCATTCCATCCGGCGCCAAGATCGGCAAACCAAGAAGTTGGACGGAGCCACGGCGTCGCCAAGGGTTCAACGTCGCCAAACGGACAACTAGGATACTGTCAAAGCATGCGGCCGGCGGAGGTGACGCAGCTCGCGCCGAACTTGCCCTTCTCAGGTTGCCAACTAAAATTAAAGTACACGAAGCTTTCAATCAACCTTGAAGCTATCATCATCAACATCATCATCATGGACGTCCGAGCGGCAACATGGCCAAACATGGCACACTTGCTGATGGAGGCTGAAGTTAGCAGACAACTCCAAGCCGGCCTGTCCCATCTACACAACGACGCTAGCCCCATTATGACGCAACTGAGGGGACGCTGCCAGTTCTGCACGGGTCACACCATCCGCACCGTGACCTTGGCGCCCAGGACCAGGATCCATGAGATCTCCCGACCGATGGTAGAGGGAAAATGATGAGGCGGGACGGTAAGATTTTTCACAGCGTCAGGTGAGGGAGGTCACCGTCAAACCCCTTGGCCCAATCCACTGTCCGCCACTGGTGCTGGGGGGGTTGGCCCCAATTGGCGAAACCATCCGGATTCCTACCACGACGCACGATGCAAATTGCAGAGCAGTATCCAGGGGACCAGCAGCACGTTTTGACGGCACAACGGCTGCCCGCTTCACCGCAAATACCTACTCTATTCGAACACTGTGCAGCCAACCACAGAGTCGGATATTTCCCGGCTGCCTCTCACTCTTGCCGTACGGTACCGCACTTCTGGCTGAAGGGTCTCAGACCGAGCAGTGCGAGCCTGAGATCCTCCTCTCCTTGTCAGACGTCTCCATTCGTTGGATGCCTGCAGCGGGGATTACGAGCAGGGGATCGACATTGGCGTTTCCGAAAACATTTTACACCCGCCGGATCCGAAGTCGAACACACACTCGAACACCCGTTACAGCCGCCCTGTCAGTTGCTGGTTGGTGATCGCGTCTCGAGGCGCAGAGAGCCGCTGGCGCGGTGAGCCTCCAACCGCATCCGATGTTTCTGAAGATGCAGATGCCGTTAAGCCGAGGACACCAGCGACGTTCCCGCAGTGACCAGCAGATTCAATGTTTTCTGATGAAATGTAATACTGTTACAAGGTGAGATGACTCTAGGACATCCAAGATGGGCTTGGATCCATCTAATCAGATTACCTTTCCACGCCTTCGTCCAAAACCGGCTCAATTCTTGAACAAGAAGTCAGCAATGGGCTCAGACAACATGTTTCTAGAGACACCGGACGGCACATGCTGGACAAGTCCTCTTCCCCTCAAGGGATCATCAAGCGGCCCTCAGGATTATTGATCTGAATCCCTCTCCAGTCGATCATCCCATCCGCCAGACCCAAGTGCCTGGGACGAGATCGAATCAGGCCATATCGCCGAGCTCTACGAGTGCAGGGAGATTGGGTTCAAAGACATCGTGGCCGAGCATTCCACGGCGGGGGACCAGGCGCCGAGACACAATGTCTCGAGCTAGAGGGCGGGCGAGCGCCCGGCTCCGCGTTGTTGATGGCTTTTGCTCCCGTCCTGCCAGCCGGACGTAGCGCCGTAGACCAGCAGGTGCCGGCCATGGCCTCCTCCCTTGAACCCTTTATAGCCCTATCGCGTGGCATGTGTGGCATATATCGCCCGCATGGAAGTCCACCAATCATCTATGATCCTTCTTCCAGATTGGCCTGTTTTTTTCGAGACAGTGATTGACTGGACAACTTGAATACTGAAGACCCTTTTTGATTCCACATCACTGGCATGGAGGCGAGTTTCGCACATCGGCATCGTGTCGAGAATTACCTGGCGATCGCCAGCTGAGATACGTGTTCTTCACGCTCCTGTCAATTACACAGAAAGGAGATCCCTTTGAAACGTAATCCAGACCTGTCTGAGGTGAGCTTGAAGCACTGCGGGTGTTCTCATTTCGAAATAGCTGGGAAAATTCCGCAAACCAACCAGCCAACGAGATTCCACTTCGGGCGAGATGCCGCTCCAAGGGTTGAAATCATCAAGAACTTGAATCTATTGGTTGTTTGATATCCCAGTTCTGGAGGCTCTGTTATTTGACGGGCGTAGCCGGCCAAGTCATCTCGTCGCTGGAGAGCCTCCAGATGCTTACTGGAGGGATAGAGCATCCGGCGAGGGACACCTGATGCCCGAAGGTCTGCCAACGAGGTCATTATCACTCGAGGCTGAGATTTTCCGGCACGGGGCTACCGAGTCCACATGGTGGGGAACCAAGAGCCTGCAATTTTGCCGACTGAACGGGATCACGCTTAGAGTTCAAGATGAATCACGGCAATGATTTCAAACTTCATCATCCCCTCTACCGGACCCTCGTGCTAAAGATGTTGAAATGTTTGCTCTCTGTGGCGTTGATAGCTTTCCCCTGTGTAAGCAAAGGCAGCGATATCTAAGTGAGAGCGGCAGTCATGTTCTCCAGGTAAAGTAGGCTTGCAAGTACAGACCACAACTTGGCCCTGCTTTATGAGCACGAGAAGCCAGCGGCTGATCAATTTCGATCATATCTAGTGACGTATGCAGCAGACTAGCTTGCGGGATTCGAGGTTTTTGGATAGCTTCACGGCCAACTTTTATGGGACGAGGAGAGCTCGACGAAGCAAGTCGAATAGAGGACACTCTGACGCCGGTGCTGACCATGATTGCTCCTGGCCCTCCGTGTTACACGGCTATTGGTGGATTCTCGTCACCGACATGGAGTTCTTGCTGCTTGAGCGAGCTCTACCGGCGTACCTCCTCACTTTCTCGTCATCATATTGATGAGACTTCAAGTCTCCCATCTGGACCTCCATTTTACTTCTCAAGTCTACGGTAAAACGAGCGTGCCTTCCAGTAGACTCTGAACACATATGAAAATGATGTTGTATTCCGTGGCCACTGGCCTCCACCAGAAATCTCTTTCGAGCTGCCAGCATCCTTCCCAGTCACCAAGTGTCACGCTCATCCTTCCTGTGTTTGTTCACAAAGGGATGAAAGCGATGGATCATGAAACCCGTACGAGGCAATTTTGCAACGGCAGCTTCTCGTCAAAGTCATGCACCGATGATATCCTAATAAGAAACCGGTTTCTTCTTGCACCGTAGATGTTACGAATTCTCCATCGAAGGAGGTACCCAAAGTCAAGAGATCCTACGGGATGAGGTATGGGGCTTTATGCATTCTCTTCGGCATCTGCAGCATTGATATTGCCCACGAATGGATTGAAGAAACTCAGTCATCTGGAACCACGTTGCACTGCTGATCATGGAATGAACTACCACGGGAGCGCCTCGGCCGAGTGAGCGCCTCGTGGTCAAGTATACATGGGGTTGACGTTCAGTGCTAGATCCGATACTGTGCGATGTATTCCCGCAACCACCTGTGAGGCTTTCCCAGAGATGGCGATCCAATTGTCAGGGCCTCTGGTTCAGTCTTTCATGAATTTGTAGTGAACTATTACGACGAAGTCAGTCGACAGGTGAGGGTCATTAGAATTATACGTTCAAGTGAGAGGATAGCCTGGACCGGTGCCTCGTACAATTCGCCGTGGACTCTCACTCCATATGAGGAAGTAGTTGATTAGCGGAACGGGAGTTAGCCTGGTGAAGTCTTGCTGACCCTGTTTCGGGTCTCAAAATCCCATGGGAACCGTCAATGAGGATGAGTTTGCGGCAATCTGAGATCCGGCCGAGTGAAAATCAGAGGCTCAGATAAGGAAGCAAAGAGGGATCGAATCAGGTGGAAAGAGCCAGAAACCCGGATCATGAAAGCGTTGTCAAGGGAAGCACGGTAGCCTGAAGAGATGAATCGAGAGCGAGTGTCTGAAACTGTTGACGCCCTTTGGTTTGAAGAGAGCCTCGCAAAGAGGCCGAGTGCTGACGAGGAGAGAGAAGGCGCCTTCTAGGTGGATATACCTGGGTATTCGCGCCTGCCATTGTATTCGAGACGGGACGACGTTACACATACCTCCCAAACACCGTTGCTGTCACCAGCACCCATCCGGCCAGTTGGACAGGTGTTTTACACCCTGACGCAGGGAAGCTGAAACAAATACTCCAATGAAGCAGTGCTGGCCTGAGGGGCGCGCTGTTTGAATCTGGGCAGGGGCGTGAAGAAACTTGTAAGTGATCACCGGCCTCCATTCCCATCCTTTTCCTGTTGCCTATTTGGATCTCACCTTTGGTTTTGTTTTGGGGTGCACTACAGATGATAAGGCGGTTGAGGTTGACTTAGATTTTGATTCTTAACGTATAGACAGATTCGAGCGAAATGAGACGGTTCACGGATGGCATTGCTCTGGTAGGTGGTCTTTTACGTCAACTATTGTCATGGTGTATTGCGCCTGAATGAGTTAATGATAGACGAACGCTGGGCATCATCTGAAACGGGTCCATTGAATTTTGACCTAGAAATATAGGGAAATAATATAATTCGACTCAGAATGTGAGGAACGTTGCATTAACTATGTCCCTTCGAGGAGTTAGAGTAGTAGAGCACGGAGTAGGGTAGACGGAAGGAAGGAGGTGAAGTCGGGATGGTTCCGCTAATGACTAAGCCATTCAGCAGGGGACGGGGCCCATCCCAGCTCTTTACGCGAGAAAACGCGTCCCTGACGCGCCCCTGTCCAGCAACGCCCGCCCGCAAAGTTGCCCCGGCAAATTGCCCAACAAGACAAAGTGACCGATACTAGCAGAGCGATACTTGAAGTTGTCACCTTCAACCACCCTCACAGACATAGCGATGCCTCATTCCGTGTCACCAGAAGCAAACTCACCTCAGACAACCGCCATGACCGACGACGCAATGGTCGATTCCACCGTTCCCGAAGATGTCGCCCAGGTAACGGATGGCGACGTAGCGATGGAGGAGGCCGAGGCGCCTGCGCCTGCGCCGGCCGCCGAAGAGAAGAGCGAGGTCAAGCTGGACGACCTGTTTGCAGACGCCGACTCAGACGATGAATTCCCCAGTTCAAGACCACAAGACGCTCCCTCATCGAGTCCAGATGGGGTCTTGACACCCCCTTCTCCAACGTGGGTTGTCCGACATGGAATGGAGGGGCAATTGCTAATACCAGGTGTAGAGATGTTGCAGACCTCAAGGCTTCAGATCCTGAGGTGATGCGCAGTTTTTATCAGCGTCTATTCCCTTGGAGATACCTCTTCCAATGGCTGAATCACAGCCCATCACCGACCAACGACTTTGGCCATAGAGAATTCGCTTTCACGCTACAGAACGACGCATACCTACGATACCAGTCCTTTGCGAGCCACGATCTGTGAGTCTACTATGACCTTTTTACTTCACTCCTCGGGGTACGACAGAAACTAACCCCTCACACCCCAGCCTGCGAAAAGACGTTCTTCGCCTCATGCCCTCCCGTTTCGAGATCGGTCCCGTCTACACCACGAACCCGCGCGACCGCAAGACCCTCCGTAACGCCAGCGCATTCAAGCCGCTCGCCAAGGAGCTATGCTTCGATATCGATTTGACAGATTACGACGACATCAGAACGTGTTGTGACAAGGCGAATATCTGCAATAAGTGTTGGCAGTTCATCACGATGGCGATCAAGGTCGTCGACGTTGCGCTGCGGGACGACTTTGGATTCAAGCACATAATGTGGGTGTACTCTGGTCGAAGAGGTGCCCACGCGTGGGTTTGCGACAAGAAGGCGCGCACGATGGGCGATCAGATGCGTAGGTCTATCGCGGGGTACTTGGAGGTTCTCAAGGGTGGCGCGCAGAGCGGGAAGAAGGTCAACCTGTGGCGACCGCTGCATCCTCACGTTTCGTAAGTGATGTTTGCACAACTGAGCAAGGCGTTGGAATAACTAACATGGCCGTAGACGGAGTCTGGATACCCTCAAATCACACTTCCAAGAAGATGTCCTCGAGGCCCAAGACCCCTGGGCCTCCAACGAGCGCGCGGAGCGTCTGCTCCAGCTCCTCC